TGGACCTCTGGACTTCGTCCGTCAGTTCGTATAGATGCCATCTGACATGCCTTGGCGAGGACTGCTCTGCAAGCAGGTGTAGAGCATTCCGTAAAGCCAACCCACGCTGTTTTGGCGTTTCCATTGAATCTGTTTTTTAACTTACGGCTCCCAAAGCCAGCGCACAACACATTGCTGGGAGAGTATTTGAAGGTCCTCATTTATGTATATAGCGAGTCGCTTGCTCCAAGACAACAGACACCTACTTGTAGCCGAATCTGAAGCTGGACAGATGCTGCTGACTTGAATGAGCACTTAAACCGAAGGAGTCGGAGTGGTCCCAACGAAGCCTCCTCTCTTTCTGCCGTGGTAAGAGTCGGGCCTGTAACTGCATACCCAGAAGAAGGAGAGCTGCAAATCCGAGGCGCTTGTTACTAAACAAAAATTTATTTATATAATAGTATTAGATATCTAAACTTTTTGCTAAAATACAGATTTACGTATACGGTATACGCGTACATACATACGTACATGGGCTTTCACTTTGCCCGGAAATTTATTTCAAAAATATTTTATCCACATTTCTTTTGAATGTATTTCATATTTTTTGATACAAATGAAAAAATTGCCGAAGTTTCTAATCCAAGTTGAAAGATTCAAGTAAATTTGTGCATAGCTGGCATATATTTGATATTATGCAGCGTCCAAGTGATGGCTATCGATTCAACACCAACGCCGATGTCTTCGACGATCGTATCCTCAAAGTCTGTGATGAAACCGGATTGCAATCGGAACATAAACCCTTTACCGAGGAAAGCCTAAATTTACAATTAAAATATGGTAAATCGCATCTAAGCAACCCCAGCCATGACTCTACCGATGTACCTAACGGTTATGCAACTGTATTGAGTGAAAACGGTAAAAATCGCACACAAGCAGATAATCGCAATGTGAACTCTGATCCAAACTCATTGATTGGCAGTATGATGAATAAGAATAATAAAATTCCATATTACAAGCGTGGTGCCTTCGAGATAAACAACAATAAAAGAGTCATTGGCATAAACAGCTGTAATAGCAGCGATACTTTGACGCCGATGGGCACGGTTACAACAAATGGCAATAAGCACTGGCAGAATTTGTCAAGACGTATGTCGATGCATGCGGCACGACCACCAAGTATGATTCAGAACGAAAGCGATAGCAACGACACGGACACATTGAACTCGGAACGAAATGCCGGTGTGCATTACAAAGCCTCTCCACGCACTGATTCCGCCTCCAAATGCTCATCACATTCATTTAGCGAAGATTTGTACAATGAATCGATGTCATCGGCATTCAGTGTGTTGGGCAAGAAAAGTTCCACGATGCTATTGGACAGCAAAGCCAGTATTCAAACGAAAAATGTGAATGAAACGCGCTGTAAACGTACACCATCAAGCAGCAGCTGGCCGCAAGAGTCTGAAATTAATTTCGTCATGCTTGTGGGGCTACTCCTCGCGCTATTCGTGTCGAAGGTACTACAATATCTACTATCGTACTTTGCTTGGTTCCAAAGTCAAGTGCTGCATATTCGAAACATATTCCTAGGCAAAAATTACAGTATATGGGATTTCTGCAACTTTGATGACACATCCCGTTACGGTCTGCGCACTAAGCTTTTGCTGCTGCCAGTGGTGGCCACTTGTTCGTTGCTTTACGGTCTGAGTTCGGTGTTGCACACCACCATAAGTTGTTTGCTTACACAAGCGCCAAGTAGCGTGATTGTTTTTATACAAAAACTATATTTGCATGCTTGAACGGGGCGAGGGAGAAAAATAACTTATTTATGTACTTACTACGCACTTTTGTTAGATCTGAACGCCTTTTGTTTTTCCCCATAATCCTTTTTGAAAATACATACTACAATAAACAGGAAATTGTTCTTAATTCATTCGAAACATCGTTTTATTTCCCATCGGTTGGGGTTTGCAATGCTTTGCGGCAGAACTTGTAGGTGTGCACAGGCACCAAGCCCTAAAAAAAATTTAAATTTGGTACACAAGTCGGGTTCACCCCTTCGACTCGCGTACATAGACAGACGGCAACTTTGATCCGGATTAACGGCGCAATTGATCTGATCAACCTCAAGCCTTGACAGACGGCAGTGATGCGGATTTACGAGCCGCGAGGTCGTAGGTTCGAGTCCCACGGCCAGTAGAATTATAACTTCTAGAGCACGAGCGCGGCGGGGTGTGACGCAGTCTGGCACGCGAACGCGGGCCGCCGCACCAGTATGCTAATGTAGTGTCAATTGACTTTATTTCCGTTGATTTTTTTACCTGCCACCTGTTTGCAACTTATGTTTATCTATATATTTTTTATTTAATTTTCTTTTAAAATACAATTCAATCTATAACAGAAACCACATAAATGTAAGCTTCAAAGCTTGCACAAATTTCACAACAGTGAATCAAACTTGAAAAAATTGTGACCAAAATTGCAAACTTCTTAATCAGAATTTTTGGAAAATTTTACGCTATGCTGTTTAGTAGCCCATTCAATTTTGCTCTAATAATGTGCAAGTTTCAAGTCGCTAAAAATAAAGGTAGTTGGTTTTTAATATTTTTTTGTTGTGGAGGGTGTTGTGCATTTTCTTCCATATAATGCCGAATTTCCACTAGGCATTGAAAGACGAAAAATTGGAGGCATTTAAAAAATGCCATGTGGAAATGAATTGATTGAATATTTTTTTACGTAATGACACGAATAGATATTTTTTAATGTCCAACTTTGTCATTACAATTTTTGACATTTAATTCCTAGTGGAAAATCTTTTTCTAACCGACTTCAAAAAAAGGAGGAGGTTATCAGTTCGTCCAACTTTTTTTTGACGTAGAACATGTCGTACCTTTCGGTATGGATGCCATGCTCAAATGTTGTTGTTGTAATTTTTAGAGCTTCGCAAGAGTGATTATTGCACCAAAACTAATGAAGCGAAGAAAAATGCGGCGTTTCAAAGATAAAATTCCAGATTTATCGACAGTTTTATTTTTGTACGTGGTTAGTTTGGTTTCTGTCGTAGAAACAATGGTAAATATTGGCTTATTTTTGGGTAAATTTTGAGCCTTTGAAATGCTCTAGGAACTAAGGTTTTGCAGATATAACTTTTATTTTCAGAATGTAAGTTCTTTACAGCAATAGTAATATTATTGTGTACAAATTTTATATAAATTCGACCAAAATTGAACATTTAAGACAACAAAAATGTTGAAAAAATAGCTTTTTTTATTACCAATGCTCGAAACCGCTCGAATGATTTTGTATTTATTTTGTTTAAAAAAAATTAATGTTATTTCCTTTCGTTTGGTATGTGGGAAAGTATTGGTTGATATCTTCTAAGTACTTTTATTTGATTCAAATAAATGGGCATAAATGAGTTTTCTTCATCATTTTACAAACATCTACTTGCGTTGTATGTAAGAAGGAGACAAAAAGTGTGCGTGTGTATTTCAGCTTTTGAGTAACAGATGGCGCAGCTCCGGTGAAATATTTGTAGCATAATTGATTGGAGCTAATGTTGATATTTTACTATTTTAGTAATATATGTATGTACAAATGTACATATTACATATCGTCACCTGAAATGCAAAAAGACGTAACAACATTGTAAATGAAACGGAAAAAGTCGTGCCAAATTTTTTTTTTGCATAAAATGATTTGGGGAGTTGTAATTCGATGAAATCCATCATATAAATGAAAAAGTGAATTTTGAATTTTTTATTAGTTATGACTTTTTGTATTTCAACGATGATGTTTGTTACGTCTTTTTGTTCAGGGTGGTGATATACATATGTATGTATGTATGTGTATATCAGTGCATAGTACTGGAAAACTTTTTTGTGATATTGTCAGATCTTTAAAGTTCGTTCGATTTTACAAAATGGGTCTTTAAATTAAAGGGCTGCGCCTGTAGATGTGCAATAACGCTTTATTTTTCCAAAAAGAGTTGCCACCTGTTGAAAAATGTATTTGAAATTATTTATAAGTTAAACCAATTATTACAACATAAGTATCGATCGAAATGGAATTGAACAGGCTTTATTTCTTAATTATATATAGGAGGGTTGCCGCCTGTTTACAAAGTTAAACTGAATGTATTCAGTAGGTAAATGAATTACAACTATATGGGTATCAATCAAAATGGCTCTGAAAAACCATTATGGCTATTGAAAGACCTTTATTTCTAAACTACATGTAGGAGCGTTGCCACCTGTTAAAAAAAATCAAGTTCAACCATAATTATGGCAAACAGATAATTGAAATATATATCCCGGTATTCCGGTGCCAGACGAAAAAGACTGTGATTTGAAAATATTTTAAAGAGGGTTGCCACCTGTTTACAAAATTATTTTGAAGAGATCTTATTTCTAAACTACGTGTAGGGTAGCTGCCACCTATTTTAAAATATAAATTCAACTTGAGCTACGTATTCTATGTTTAAGATTAGGGGCTGTGGCTTTGTGTATTGTATATCCGTATCGCAGCGCGCCTTCATTGCGTTCATTTGATTTAGTAATTTCAGCACTTGTAACGTGATTAATTGAAGCATATTTACAGCTCTATGTATGTATGTATGTATGTATGTGTGCATAACTATTAACTTAATAACCTTAATACGATAGCTTTGATAATAATGTATTTAGTTTATTAAAATCAATAATCCGAGCTTGCGAGTATGGCGAGAAAAACTTATTCTTACATTTAATCAACATTTCATTCAAAGTGGTTCACAAATACATACATATGTATACGCATACATACACACTACATACAAATACATACATATAAATACATACATACATATTACATAATTTTTTCTCAACTAATTACATACATATGTATCTGTTGTCAATGCATTCGATTTGCCGTGAACTTAATGCTTGTTGTTGTAAATCATTGATAATCAAACTTTTTGCAACTTTGAAAACATGTACTAATACTAAACTTAAATGTTCTTTTTACTTGTCCTGCAAAAGATCCAATCCTGGTACGCCCACCCAACCAAGACGACCCGATTTCATTGGTCTGAATACACAACAACAACCGCCACAGACTTATTACGAATATACGACTGGCTTGCCGCCACAACATCCACAACCGCCTACCATTCAACAGCAGCAAATCATGTTGCAACAACAGCAACAACGTGCCATGATGCAACAGCATCAGCAACAACAACAGCAAGGTGAGAAAGCATACAATCGCAAATATAGTAAACGATCATTGCATGAAAATAAAAAGAAACGAAAAAAATTACTTGCCATGGCCAGCGCATTTAAGACCTCTAAGAAATCTAAGTCTAAATCCAGCAAAAGCCATAAAATTCGAAGCCCCAATTGGTCCATATACTAAGTATGAAATCAAGTAGCTACTAATTCATTTACAATCGTATGTACTATTTCGTATTTGCTATAAAATTAAATGTAAATATGTATAGAAGGACAAAAGGAGTGAGAAATAAGAATTATGTATATGAAAAGTCATAGTCAAAAAATGGAAAATACGCGCAATACAATTGGGCTTCCGCTATGCTAATCCCACCCGGCTGTTTTGGCACAATCGGCAGATTTTTTCGCCTATTTGATTGATTTACTTTTTTTACTTACTTGTTTTTATTGCAAAATGAATAATTGGCCTTTTTATGTTGTTTAAAGTTATTAATTCATTACTGCACATTAAATTTATTAAATTACCTACTTGTGATTTATCCGGTAGCGTTACCTTGTGAGGGGTAAAGCTTCAACGAAATTCGAATTGTTCTATTCAGTCGGCAAAATGGAGAACGCTTCAGGCAGGGCGTTTTCAATAAGATCTTTTTTGGGTGCTGTTTCAGATAAGATAAAATAATATGTAGTTCGCAGAAAGCACCCCGTACTTACAGTAAGAAATGCCGTTATGCGGTGAAATTTTCATTTCTTCCGCTCTCCATGGTAAATCATAAAATTTAGTGAACGAGTACCGTGCAGAGCCGGAAAAATTAGGTCCGCACCCATCTCTACTATGCTGCATTATGTCATGGGCATACTTAGACATTTTCTCAACAGTCCGTTATGATATTTTTATTGTGGAGAATAAAGCATTGCGACCTAAAGATCTATGTAGTTACCCCCTTCATGGATTTATGGTGTGTCGAATAACGCAACGCCCGAAAGAAATTTTAGTAAATGTTCACTTACGTGTATTTTGCTTTTGTGCATCAGTGCCGGACCTTGCTACTGCGAGTAAATTCCCAGTTCGGTCAGGTGATGGTCCAGCCTGCAGTGTTCTCAGAATACCTGCGAAAATTAGTAAGCTGATCTTGGATGGGCTTATACATTCTTAAAGCGTTTTAAGTTTTAAGTTTCTAAAAATGCTTTGAAATGCTCTAGACCTGGGAGATGAAGAGGTTATTGTTAGTCTTATTTCCTTCAATACCAATATACCCCACAATCCAGATTGCTCAGACCAAGAGTATTGAGCTTGTCAAGGCATTCCATCACCAGTTTGAATGTTACCTGATAAGCTCTGAGGGCCTTAATAGCATCTTGGATATCTGTCAAGATTGTGAGGTTCTGATTCCGGTAGTTTCGCGTGATATTAAAGTATGCGGATCTTTCTATATCATATAGCGATCCAACCACACTTTTTCCGGTACACTCCTCAGACAATGAGCCATCAGTGTACCCGGTTATAATGTTTTGGTCTATCCGATATATTTCGGCCCAGCTCTTCTTATTACATACTTACATCAGTTTTAAACCTTTATATTCCTTGGTATTGAAATTTCCGGGTTATGCATCGTCAGAATTATCGATGTTGCTACGACTAAGAAAACCTTCTGCCCCGATGTTGGTACCAGCCATCCTTAGTAGAGCCCTTTTCGCCTGAGTCTGTATATGAATATGAAGAAGAGTAAGATCTAGAAGAACTTCCAGTTAAAAGTTCTCAAGGCTCCATTGATGCTCAGAACATTCCATATTGCTGTCTCCTTATTTTCTAAAGTGGTTTTTGCAGAGCGGCCTGCCATGTATACGTGCTGAAACGAGTTCAGTGGCTAGTTCAGTAAGATTGTAGTCCTTACCTTTTCCAAGGCCTTCAGTACAAATGACGTAAGACAGATGGGCCTGAATCATTTTGGATGACCTTTGAGATAACTTTTTTGAGGAAGACAACTACAAATGTGGATAAAGAAACTCCTTCGCGCCCATAAGCGGTTTCGCAGGTAGCCGGAGAGTTTTCTTGGAAATGTACATACATAGAGAACACGCCGAGGTGTTTAAACCTAAGCAACACAAATGCAGTGCAGACAAGAAGAAAGGGCTAAGATGATTACATCTCGTCGTCTTCCACACAGCTGCTGGTTTCTATTGGGCAGTGCCTACTCAAAATTCCGGCCAAGAACTACGAAGGCCTCGCAACTTTGCATGTCGAAATGTTGCTCAGTGCTCACTGAGCCAACTTTAAGCCCACCCATCTGGACTACCTGCAAGTCGACAAGACGTTTTTTGCACCACCCTTGCCCCGAATAATTGCAGCTTGCTTTGTTTTTGGGCCAAAACAGACAAATGAATGTATTCCCGTATGACTATTAAAAATGTCAAACTTTACGAAGACAATGCCAGGTTTTGCATATTCCCATTCGAGTTAGAATAAGGATGTTCTCGAAGTCTTGAAAAGCACCTGCAAACCGGTTTTCCCATGTGACAGCTTTGTAAACCGTGCACCATGCAAAGGCTTTGCATGACTTCGAGAATACCCCTAATAAAGAATGTACACGAAAAAAACTGGTCGCACATAACCAAGCATAGCTCGGTTAATCATAACATTAAAATAAAAATCGGTAGACACTTAAAAAGCTGGAAGCATTTTCCACCTTACGGCATCATTTCTTTTTAGTAACAAAAATCAGTGTAGAAACGAGGACCAAGAAAGAAATCGATCGCGAGTTAATATTGCGCAAAAAGCTGGAAAATCCCAGCATGTTCCATAACGACATCGCAAAAAAGCTAAAATTTCCAAAGTCTACCGTTACTTATGTGCTTAAAAAATACAATGAATGTTTATCTTTA